ATAAAAGCTTTGGTGCTTTCAACAGAAAACAGACTCCAGGCACCACCCCTGTTGCTGTGCATTGAAGTGCTAGGATGTTCGGTGGGAGCTGCCATGGTGCAGGAGCTGTCCAAGGAGTTAATTTCATATAAAGGTTAGTGTGAGGGAGAAGGCTGGATTATGCCATTGAGACCCCTCTCAATCTCTGAGCCCTTGTTGCAGGGCAGGGTATAGAAACTTGCAACTAGACAAGAGAATAGGAAGGTTCCCCAAGACCCTTGTGCAGACCAGAAGCATGCAGTATGAGAATGCATGCATCCCATCCACATTGCCTGTCCAGTCACCATTCTCTCAGCACTCCTCTCAGGGGCTCCTCTCACTACCCCTACACTGGGAGAATGGGATAGTAGGTTAGGTGTAAACAGTGGTGGGGGACAGTACTTGTGGCTTCTGTCCTTAGACTTCACACTATATAGTAATTTGGAAGTCTGCCTCCAGCCCACCCTGGAGCCTCCCCAGAGAACTGGAAAGATATCCCAATGTACACTTAGAGTTGAAGAGACAACAGTTCATTTTTAGTCCAAAATAGCCTCAGTATGGAATTAAAATACATGAATTAAGCCTTGCAAAAATCTAACCAAGAAGGTGAAAGATTTAACTGTTAAAACTGAAGAAACATTCAAAGGTTAAGAATGTGGCCCAGTCAGCAAAACATGACTGTGCAAGCACATGGACCTGAGTTTTGGTCCCCCTGTACTCATTAAAAGCTGTGTGTTTGCAGGATTTGTGTAAAGTTATCAAATCCCAGTGCTGGGGACTGTAGTCCACTAGTCACCCGGTCTACCCAAATTTATGGCCCATTCCCTCCAAAAGTGGAGAACCTGTGACTCCACATACACAACACATGAGATTGAAGACAACAGAAGTTGGAAAGGTTTTCTCTGCTCATGAGTCAGCAGTGTGAAAATGGCTATATGAACCAAAGCGATGTAGAGACTCGGCACAATCCCCGTGAATGTCCCCCAGTGACATCCTTCACAGAACTAGAAAATCCTAAAGTGCATATGGTGATGATTGCGTCTCCCGGTATTCTGAAGGCCAGTGACAGGACAGTCAGCTACACAAAACTCAAAAGACAGTCATAGCCCAAGATATATATGAAAAAACTAAATACCTCCAAGATGGAAACATTCTAAACAGCCATGGTGGTGGTATTACCCAACTTCAGATTATAAATCTAGAACCACAGCAACACAACCAGCATTGTCATTGGCACAAAACTGGCACAGAACAACAGACTGCTGGCCAGAAAAGGACCCAGAGCTGGGCAAGGTGGCCCAAGCCTGTGAGTTGGGTATTTAGGAGGATGGAGTAGGATGATCAGAAGTTTCAAGTTCAGCAGCAATTAAATAACAAGTTTGAAGTGTGCTGGGTTATATCATGTCTGATGTACATTAAACAAGGAAAAGAAAGGGGATAACAACCAGGAAATGAACCTTCCAGGGTAAGTCATTGAGTTCTGAACACCGGACAAGTGCTATATCCCAGCCCTTTAACCTTCATTTTGAGACTGGATCTTGCTAATTTGTCCAGAATGGCCTTGAACTCACTCTGCAGCTAAAGTGGATTTTATATTTTATAGCCTCCTGTGTCAGCCTCCGAAGTAGCTGTGATGTCAGGACTGTGCCATCATGCCCAGCAAGTTTTAAATTTTAAGCTACTCACTGTCTTTAAAACAAACAAAAACCAGTATTAAAAAAGGAAGAAAGAAAAGAAAAAAAAATCAGTGTGGTTGTGATGCGCTTAATTTTTTTTTTCTGAACCATAATTTTGTTTCTTCTCCTTTCTCCTATTCCAATTCATCACCCACAACCCCGGGCCCCACCCATCCAGTCCTCCTTTGTTTCTATTCAGAAAATGGAGGACCTCCCTTGGATATCAGCCAGCCTTGGTCTTTCAGTGATTTTAGGCACCTCCTCTTCTAAAGACTTAATGAGGCAATCCAGTAGGAGGAATGGGGTCCAAAAGCAGGCAAGAGAGTCAGAGTCAGCCCCTGCTCCCACTTTTAGAAGTCCCACAAGAAGATTAAGTTACACAACTGTAATATTTATGCAGGGGATCTAGGTCAGTCCTGAGCAGGCTCCCTGGTGGCTGGTTCATTAATTATTTTAAGGGATCACGTGTAGGATGATGTGAAAAAAGTTTTTTCCTAGGTTTTCTTAATCAGGTTTCCTTTGTCAGGTTTTGTTAATAATTTCTGGCTTGGTAAACGACGTTCGTTTATATTTCCTCTTTCTCTAGTTTCATAATGTCTTTATTTCAAATGCACAGATATTTGGAAAAAATCACCAGCTTCCAGAAAGAATTTCCAAAGGGGAACTTTTCTAGTGACAGTGTGTTCATTGTGTGGGAAGTCACTCAGATTTTGTATTTAGTTTTGTTAGTCATTTTTTAAATGACATTTTTTCATTTGTTCTACATGCTGCACACAGTCTCCCTTCCCCCAGACTTTGTAAGCAATAGAATAACTTTCATTGACATCAAGGGATCTGTCCATTTCATGTACAGCTCCTAATACTTTGGTATGAAACTGTTCATAGTGTTCTGCTGTTAATACATTTTAACAAATGTAGGGAGGCTGGAAAGATGGCTCTGTGGTTAAGGGCACGCACTGCTCTTGCTGTGGACCTGAGTTCACTCCCAGCACCCACAGCATGCAGCTCACAAAC